ACACACACACAAACACAGAAGGCCTAGACAGGAGGAGGACAGAGTGTAGGTACACAGAACATACCTATAACATATAAATGTGACCTAACAAAGGTAAAGGGCAAATATTAACCATATATATTGTTTATACTGCTTGTAATTGGGATAAGGTAAACATCTGTTCAGTATTTTAACATAGAAGTGTTGATTGTGAGGCATCAAAAGCCACAAAATGCAACGGGTCCATCAGACCCACAAACGCTGGCTGAGTAACAACAATATGAACATTACACAAGGGTTAATCATGTTGGACTGCTATTATTTTCATAATTCATCACTTTCATTGACCTGGTTTTTTGGGACATTTGGGGGGGGTGAGTGCAGCAGAACGAGACTTGGCTCTTCTCCCTGCTGTCTTTGCCATAAGAAGTCTCAGAGGTAAACTCTGCTGTTTCTTCACAGCCTAAAGCAGCAGGAGAGAATCCTCGCTTACACTTCTCTCTCTTAGGTTCCTATGTGTTTCTGAGCAGTCGGAGCTGAACACTGGTGTTTTATTTTGCTGCAGATCATTCCAGATCAGTTTCGTACCTCTCAGCGCAAACCTCCCTCCTCTGTGACTCATTGAACCTCATGGCCCTTTCAAGAAAACGTCAGTGTATGGAACAGATGAAGGTTTCTTTTTTTGGTAATGGAAAAGTTCCAGTGACACATTTGGAAAAGTGTGTGAATAAAAGAGTTGATTTTCTCTGAAAGCACCAGACACACTTACATAATCTAGGGAACATGCCATTAGGCACATAATGGCTGGCCCTGCACCAACGATTGTCCACATGTTAACAATGTCACACTATGAGTCACGGACCGTTCTAATGTATTCTACCTCACATTTGCCTTTGCTGCCAAGCTCTGCTTCCAGACTCAAAGGTACATACACTGCAGTAAAGGTGTTCCAGAAGCGCTAATGTTCTCCCTGCACGACTAGAAAGTCTCTGGTGGACTTTTATGTATATGACAAGGCAGTAATGTCTGCTCTGCTCTAATTCTCGCTGACTTCCAGATCACTGCTCCAGCCCTAATCAGCTAAAAATGACAGTGAGCAAATATTGATCAGAAGAAAGAAGGTACTGTACGTGGTAATGAAGGTACTGTGCTGTACGACGTGGTCAATATATCACACAGGTACTCAGCAGAGTAAAGGTTTAAGGTGAGGTACTCAATATCATTTGACTAAAATACTCTTTAGTGGAGGGAGTTCAACAAGGATGAACCAGAACTGGGACCAAGTTACTGCAGAAAAACACCCTAATCCTAACCATTAGAGATGGTTATGATATGCTTTATTCTAATCCTAACTCCAGACTAAATCTTCACCTCAAAATACCCACTTACCCCAAAGGGACCTGAAAAATGTCCCCATGAAGACAAAGGGTCACCACAAAATAGCATTTCACAGTCTGGTTTTTAATGTGTTGTGAGGACTTCACAGAGACATCACATAATCCCAGTATAAATGTATGGCTAATCTCAATCCTACCCTCACCCAGCCTTAGTTTTAATACTAACTCCAAACTTTAAACCAAACCTTAAACCTTAAAATGGCCTCTTACGTAGAGGGGACTTGAAAATGTCCCCACAACAAAGCACCTCCCCCACAAACACACATGTTTAAAACAAACAAAGCAAAACACAGAAAAGAAAAAGCATGTGATCAGGAAAAGTGAGTATTAAAAGAATATTCAAATTTAACGTCGAAATTTTATGCTGTTGAATTCTTCTCTCAATAATCAATAATGAGTTCCTGAAAGCCAAGTGACTGTGGGACGTAGACTGTGGTTCAAACCCACAGAGACAACAGCATCAAATATGTTTGACGTTTGTTCAGCGATGAGCCATCCTTCAGTCAGACAGACATTAATGTTGGACGTCAACACACTGGACATCTGAGGGGGTAAACTGTGTGAGTGAAGGTGACGTCGGCTTTTCTTTCCTTCTCCTCCTCCACAGGGACTTATTTACGGGGCAATTGTCTCAGAACAGCCAACGACACTGAACCCTGTAATTAGTGTATGTTTCCAGTCACAGGTCACATGGTGTTGAACTGTAAACACAACCCAGAGGGGAGGGTCAGGGGTGGAACTTCCTGTTGAGATGTGTCAAATCCTGGTGTGAATTTAGTTTTACAAGAGCAATGTTGGAGAGGCCAAAATACATCCTGTACTGTAGTACACAAGTGCAGCTGTGGTGTGACATGGTGTGTTCTTAGCTTGTGGTAATCGGACTGAGTACTAATCAGGTACTGTTTTACTTCTGTCCCTTTTCTTAATGCACACTTTGTGAGAATAATACATCTTAAAACAACTGTAGGTCCTGATTCAAATATGTACATTCTTAGCAATGACTTTTTTTCCCAAACCAATACAAGCACTAGTATTTTATTCTGTGTTCTTGGAGATCACTAGTACTGATATGAGGTGATGTGCAGTGTGTGTGTGTGTGTGAGAGAGAGAGAGAGAGAGAAAGAGAGCGAGAGCGAGCGATCCACACCACAGTGATGAAACACTGACAGTTTTATTTTCCTAATATTAATGAACAACTGTTTACACTGTGAATCTGAAAGAAAACAATTCTTTCTGTTTTAACTAAGAGGTGCTGTTGTCACATTAGACAATAGAAATTTCCAATAAATTATCAAACCCATGAATAAAACAGTAAAAATTAATAAAATGAATAAAACATTTACACAGTTTACTCAGCCCACTGAACAGGTTCCCCCCATATAAAAATGATTTAATGAAAAACTAAAACACAACTAAAACGAATTTA